CCTCTGTCATCATTTTAAGTGGGGGAACTTGCACAATCGGTGGCTGACTAAATACTTTTTTGCCCCACTGTATACAGAGACACAGAGAGGGGCACAGAGAACAAAGACTGATGGGAACCTAATAAACAAATAACTAAACTGATCATCAGTAAACTCAACGAGGTAATAAGAAAAAACTCAGAACTAACCAGTTAAATGAAAATAATAATCATACTAATACACAACAGATACCAAAACACAAGAAAATTCAAAACACAAACCATGACAGTAACCAGAACTGTTTTGAGTTACTAACCTCAGTGGTCAGTGTATGAGCATCAGGTACATAGTTAAGAAGATAAACAAGGTATAATCTTGGGTGGGACTAAACAAACAGTACATGGGAGATGCAGCAAAGTTCACCTCACAAAATGGCAGAAAACCCTTAGAAATTAAATCATTCTCACTCTGACCAGAGTACCTGATGAGAATGGTGCTGGAAGTGTTGAAGTAGTTTTGAAGATAATCATAAACCACAATATGAACAAATACAATAAAATACGGTACAGTAAAAATACAGGGAAACTCAGCTGAGTTCATTTCCTCTTCAGTTTACGCCATGCTGGCGCTTGTGGTGCCTTTGTAGAGCCATCTTACGTTGGAAACCCTTTGGACAAATGTCACAGTGGTAAGGTTTGAAGCCTGTGTGTGTCCACCTATGTGTGATCAGGTTGGAGCTTTGGCTGAAAGCACTGCCACAAATTTCACATTTGTGAGGCTTTTCAAATAATGCAGAATATTTTTCCAATGAAAAATAACAAACAAGAATCAGGCCACTATACAGGTTTTTAACAAATACTGTGAACAAATACACAGATTTTTCTCTTACAGAACTCTTACAGTTAGAAAAACAATTAAATTGCAAATGAACAGGATACTTGTTCTTTTTCTGATTCATCAGCAGTTTTATTCCTGTCTAATCCCCTGCTGCATTAAGCAAAGCAGGAGATGTGAATCATATGAAGGTTTCATTTTATCCCATCATCACATTAATGTTCATAAGCTGTGGAGTAGTTAAGATATTTACCAGTGTGAACGTGTGCGTGCTTCTTCATATCAGACCTTTGATGAAACCTCTTGTTACAGTACTGGCAGGGGTATGGCCTGATGTCCGAATGGATTATCAGATGTGTTTTGAGTGCAAAGGAACGATTAAAAGTTTTGCAACAGACCTCGCACTCAAAACATATTTCCTGTGATCAGAAAAAAGAGCTTCATTACAAAAGTGAAGTTTGCCCATTTATCAAAGAATTGCATATGATCACATTTAGTGTTAAATATTGAAGCATAACTGTAACGTCAACTGTAAAGTCAAGAAAATGTTAGTAGTAGTAAGAAGTATTGCTCATGGCTGTGTTAAGCTGCAGAAATCAAAGCTGTTTGTTTAACAGGCAAAGAGAATAAAATAAAGATCATGATCATGGAAATTGAAGAATTTGGGGCAAGATAATTAATGGAAAATTCTGTTTCCATTGAAATTGGCTGATTTACCTTTGAGTGGATGTTCATATGCTGTCTCAAGCTGACAACATGACCAAAAGATTTATTGCACAGTATGCAGACAAAGGGCTTCGTTCCTTTGTGAGACCTTCTGCTGTGGACCTCAAGTCCATGAACGGTTGAGTAAACCTAAAACAGAGTAAGTCCATCAGTGGAAGAATATGAGACACTGACAGTTTAAAATAGACAGCTTTTTTTCTCATTAAATTGGATACACTTCAGGTTTGTACACAAAGGTATGGTGCACTGAAAAGTAAATATGGATGTATTTTTTGCTCTTGCTTCTTGACACATGCATGCATGGTCTTTACCTGTTGACAGACAATACAACTGTAGTCACTTGAAGTTGGGGAACAGTGTTTTCTGAGCCGCTGGTCGTCTGAGGCTACAGACACAGAAAAAAAAAAGAAGAGATCTCCGTTACTCAATAATAATATTTAAAGTAAGCAGGATTCAAGCTTTGCCTCCCCCTCGGCAAAACAACAAGAAGCAGACTGCCTTCTGATTACTATAAATCCGTAATAAATTTAAAATCGAACGTCAAATGCCTGAGTGATTATAGACTAATTAAATATCCCATGAGGGGGAAAAAAAGGAAAAAATGGATGGTTGGAAGATTTAAAAAACAAAAAACATACTAAAAAAAACCCCTGATTAAACACGTTTATAATCTACTCTGATTATTTTAACCGCCTTTCTCAGATAGTTTTACAATCCCTCAAATCTTTTTTTTTTTTTCAAACCTTACCTGAAAATACCGGCTCATTTTCGTCTTGAACGGTTGTCATTCACCTGAAAAATTTTCTGATCTTCACCATGAAACATCTAGGCATAATGATACTGCTGACAAACAGAAACATTTTGTTTTGCTTTTTGTTTTTTAATTCACGAAGCAGTCAAAAACTGTTAAGACTCTGAGTTCATCTGTAGTAAATCGGACATCTTTCGTGCAAATTGTAGCAAATTCGAAATGTACAAATTCTTTGTCGTAAGTCTAAAAATCAAAAATCAAAAATAAAATCTCGGACTAAATGTTTTAAGAAATGTTTAATCAATCAATCTTTATTTATAAAGCACTTTTCATACAAAGATGCAGCACAAAGTGCTTTACTTGGTTAAAAGCAGCCCGCCCCGCC